GCTGGCCACATACACCAAGGCTGGTGGGTTTGAACCCGGCCCTGGCCAGCTAAAAAAAAAACAACAATGTCAACTGCAACAACAACAAAAATAGCCTGGTGTTGTGGCGGGCACCTGTAGTCCCAGCTACTTGGGAGGCTGAGGCAAGAGAAATGCTTAAGCCCAAGAGTTTGAGGTTGTTGTGAGCTGTGATACCACAGCACTCTACTGGAGTGACATAGTGAGACTCTGTCTCAAAAAAAAAAGAAAAGAGAAGATGCAATTGATCATTTCTCTTCCCCAATTCACTGATGTATAGAGTGCCTCATGATAACAGCAGAGTAGAGGCCCTCCTAAAACAGGAGCTGCAGTGTGGATTGCAGGCACTAACTGGTTCAGGCCACTGGTTCAAGCACTTCCAGAAGGGAACAAAAACTTGGGATGTACTATAAAAAGAATCTATAAATTCGATGCAGTCACTATCAAAATACTAATACAATTTTTCCCCAAAATGGAAAAAACAATCCTGGGGCCAGGCATGGTGACTCATACATGTAATCCCAGCACTTGGGAGGCTGAAGCGATGGATTGCCTCAGCACACAGGTTTGAGACCAGCCTGAGCTAGAGTGAAACCTCATCTAAATAGCTGGGCATTGTGGTGGGCACCTGTAGTCCCAGCTATTCGAGAGGCTGAGGCAAGAGAATCGCTTGAGCCCAAGAGTTTGAAGTTGTTTTGAGATATGATGCCACAGCACTCTATTGAGGGTGAAAAAGTGAGAGTTTGTCAAACACACAAAAAAAAAATCCTAAAATTTTTAACAGTCCATCAAAAATAATCCCTAGACTGGGCAAGGTGGCTCACACCTGTGATCCCAGCACTCTAGCAGGCTGAGGTGGGTGGATGACTAGAGCTCATATGAGTTTGAGACCAGCCTGAACAAGAGTAAGACCCCATCTCTTCCAAGAATGAAAAACTGAGGATCACTTGAGCCTAAGAATTTGCTGTGAGCTATGAGCCCATGGCACTCTACCAGGGGCGACAGCTTGAGACTCTGTCTCAAAAAAAAAAAAAAAAATCCCTAAGTATTCCTGGACAACAAATCGATTTCCAAGTCATATCGCAAGAAGGTACTACATCCACGATGACTTCTTAAGTGCCTCCAGTGCTACTGACATCTGTAAATCTGAAATATGGGACCAAAAAAGACCCCAAATAGCAAAAACAATCCTGAGCAAAAAGAATGAGGCTGGAAGTTCACACCACCTGATGTCAAAATGCACTACAGGCTGCAGTAACCCACTAAAAATGGGACTGTTATAATAACAGACATGCAGCCACAGAGCATAACAGAGAACCCAGAAAGGATAAACCTACATATTTATGGCCTCCTCAAAATTTTTTTTGAGGCAATGTCTCACTCTGTCACCCAGGCAGGAGAGCAATGGCATGATCACAGCTCACTGTAGCCTCAAAATACCAGGCTCAAGTAGTCCTTTTGCCTCAGCCTCCCAAGTAGCTCTGACTACAGGGACACCAACCACCACATCAGGCTAATTTTTCTATTTTTTGTAGAGATGGGGGTCTCAGCATGTGCTCAGGCTGGTCTCAAGCTCCTGGCCTCAAGTGATCCTCCAGCCTCAGCCTCCCAGAGAGCTGAGGTAACAAGCACCAGGCACCACACCCAGCCTAACCTACTGATTTTCAACAAAGGCACCAAGAATACTCACTGGGAAAACAGTCTCTTCATAAATGATGCTAGGAAACTAATATCCATTGCTGAAAAGTGAAACTGGACTCTCCCTCTAGCCATATACAGAGATCAAGTCCAGGTGGATTAAAGAATTAAATGTAAGACCAAACACTATAAACTGTGTTTCTTCTAGAGTAAGAATTATAGTTTCCTTTATACTTCTAGATATAACTAGAAGAAAACATAAAGAAAACACTTCAGGACATTAGTCTAGGGACAAAGACTTTATGGCTAATACCTTTTTAAGAGAGTGTTTCACAGGCAGCACCTATGGCTCAGTGAGTAGGGCGCTGGCCCCATATACTGAGGTTGGCGGGTTCAAACCTGACCCCAGCTGAACTGCAACTAAAAAAAAAATAGCCGGGCATGGGGTGGCACCTGTGGCTCAAAGGAGTAGGGCGCTAGCCCCATATGCCGGAGGTGGCGGGTTCAAACCCAGCCCCGGCCAAAAACTGCAAAAAATAATAATAATAATAATAATAACCAGGCATTGTAGCAGGCACCTGTAGTCCCAGCTACCTGGGAGGCTGAGGCAAGAGAATTGCTTAAGCCCAGGAGTTGTAGGTTACTGTAAGCTGTGTGATGCCGCAGCACTCTACCAAGGGCAACAAAGTGAGACTCTGTCTCTACAAAAAATAATAATAATAAAAGAGTGTTTCACTATGTCACCCTCAGTAGCATGCTGTGGCGTCACAGCTCACAGCAACCTCAAACTCCTGGGCTCAAGTGATTCTCCTGCCTCAGCCTCCCAAGCAGCTGGGACCACAGGCACCCGCTACAACGCCCGGCTATTTTTTTTGTTGCAGTTGTCCTTGTTGTCCAGCAGGCCTATGCCAGGCTCGAACCCACCAGCCTCGGTGCATGTGGCTAACACTGCAACCACTATGCTATGGGCACCAAGCCATGGCTAACAATTTAAAGGCATAGGCAACAAAAATTAAAATAGACAAATGGGACTACATTAAATTAAACAGCTTCTGGAGGCCGGCACAGTGATTCACATCTGTAATCCCAGCACTCTGGGAGACAGAGGCAAGAAGATCCCTTGAGCTCAGGAGTTCAAGACCAGCCTGAGCAAGAGCAAGACCCTGTTTCTACTAAAGATAGAAAAACTGGCTGGGCATGGTGGATGCCTATAGTCTCAGCACTCTGGGAGACTTGGGTCTGGAAGATTGCTTAAGCCTAGGAGTTTGAGGTTGATGTGAACTTTGATGATGCCACAACACACTGATGATGTCATCCAAAGTGACAGAGTGAGACTCTATCTTAAAAAATAATGCTGATTTGGGCATGGCACCTGTGGCTCAAGGAGTAGGGCAACGGCCCCATATACCAGAGGTGGTGGGTTCAAACCAGGCCCCAACCAAAAATAAATAAATAAGTAAATAAAATAATGATAATAATAAAATAAATAAATAAATGGCTTCTGGAAAGCAAAGGAAATAATCAACAGAGACACCTGTTGAACTGGAGAAAATATATGCAAAATTCATCTGACAAAAGAGTAATATCCAGAATATACAGGGAACGCAAGCAACTCAGGGAAAAAAAATCCAAATAATCCCCTTAAATTGTGGGCTAAAGGGCCGGGTGTGTTGGTTCACACTTGTTTTAGTTTTTTTGTTTGTTTGTTT